AGGGTTTATAAGCTCTAGGGCTTAGGGTTCAGGGTTAAGGGTTGAGGGTTTAGGGTTTAGGGTTTAGGGTTGAGGGTTGAGGGTTTAGGGTTTAGGGTTCAGGGTTTCGGGTTGAGGGTTGAGGGTTTGGGGCTTAGGGTTTAGGGTTTTAGGGTTCAGGGTTGAGGGCTTAGTGCTCACAGGGTTTAGGATTTAGGGTTTAGGGTTTGAGGGTTGAGGGTTCAGGTTCAGGGTTTAGGATTGAGGGTTTAGGGGTTCAGGGCTTAGGGTTTAGAGGGTTTAGGGGTTCAGGGCTTAGGGTTTAGGGTTTATAAGCTCTAGGGCTTAGGTTTCAGGGTTAAGGGTTGAGGGTGGAGGGTTTAGGGTTTAGGGTTGAGGGTTTAGGGTTCAGGGTTGAGGGTTCAGGGTTGAGGGCGTAGGGTGTAGGGTGCAGGGTTTAGGGTTAAGGGTGCAGGGCTTTTCAATCTTTTGAAGAGAGATTTGAAACATAAGAATTTTTCTTTCGAGTGCATGATAGCATCGACCCCTTAAAGACCAACCATACCGTTTGCGTGCTATTTCCCTATTTCTTTGCTACCTATCTTCCATTGACTCTTGCAGTGTTCAAACCCCATCCCAAACCCTGAGCTCTAAGATAAACTCCAAACCCTGAAGTGGACCCTAAACCCGAAACTAAAACCCAGAACCCCAAATCCCTTTCCCGAAAGGCTCAACCAAAGGAGCTTCAGAGAGCATGTCCATCCTCGGCCAGTTAAAGTCTAAAGGTCCGATTACCGAATGGAGGCGGCATTTACCCAGTTTTTCCCTAGGTTCCATGAGGGGTTTCATAGCGATGAACCCTAAACTCTAAACCCTAAAACAGGGGGATTGAATTGTTCGGAGTGGTTTGGGGAAGTTTGGACACTACCATCATACGGGTAGTTCTCAAAAGCTTGGGTTTAGGTTTTAGGGTGTAGGGTTAGGTTCCCAAAATAGTACGCCACCCTTTTAAAAGAAGACTCCAGAAGGGACCCTGATTCAGAGAATTACCCATTACTACATATCATTCAGCTACAGGGGTTTCCGAAAGTAGGGGACCCTACTATAGCACCCCAAACAGTAGGATCCTTATTATATGGACCCCAACATAAGGTACCCCTTATCGTCGGAAACTCCTATATCATGCCGTGGGGTTGACGTGTCGCTCTCTTCAAACTGCATCCTGGGCTTTACCGCTAGGGTTTAGGGTTTGGTGTCTGGGCGTCTAAGGCGGTTCATCTGCAAATTGAACATGCTCTTGATATGGGATACTGCCCCTACTCAGTAACAGTTGAATAATACTGTGCTTATGGCCCTTCATACTAACCTCCTTATAGACTGTTACTGTATGGGGGCAGTACTCAATCTTGACCTCACAGACAAAGTCTTTCCCCTTTTAAAGAACAAAGCTTATCTTCGAGCCAAGTAGTGGTGGAAGATGCGTCCTGGTTCCGAAACCCTAAACCCCTAAACCCCTGAACCTTAAACCCTAAACCCTTAACCCTTAAAACCCTAAACCCTAAACCCTGAAAGCCCTAAACCCTTAACCCTTAAAACCCTGAACCTTAAACCCTAAACCCTTAAAACCCTAAACCCTTAAACCCTTAAACCCCTGAGCCTTAAACCCTAAACCCTTAAAACCCTAAGCCCTAAACCCTTCAAACCCTGAACCCTAAACCTTAAAACCCTGAACCTTAAACCCTAAACCCTTAAAGCCCTAAACCCTCAAACCCCTGAAGCTTAAAATTAAACCCTAAAACCCTGGAGTCGAACTGCGGAGGCCATTCGAATCACGAGAGGACGCTGATGCTCGGCTGATCGAGAGAAGCCCAAATAGGATCAGAGGGGTTCAGGGTTTAGGGTTTAGGGGTTCAGGCTTGAGAGTGTTTAGGGCTTAGTCTAGAATATTTCAGGTGGGGAGTTTAGGGTATATAGGGCCTCTATAAGGCTTCTATAAGGTATATAGGCCTTCTATAAGGCTCCTCCAACCGAAACTACCAACCTGAAAATGTCCTAGACTTAGTGTTCAGGACCTGCCTGGTTTCTTATATCATGGTTTCCTTATATCAGTCCTCAAACAAGTAGGTCAAACAAGTAGGTAGTTCAAGGTCCAGGTAAGCCCCCTTCTGGTGCCGATGCCCTAGTGACCTCTAGATAGGCTATAAACACTAAACGCTAAAACCCTAAACCCTGAACCCTCAAACCCTAAAGCCCTAAACCTTGAAACCCTAAAACCCTAAAGCCCTAAACCCTAAACCCTAAGGTATTGGGTTCCCAGGGACAGCGGGAAGTTGGATCTCAAGGGATTTCGGATCAAGATTCAGAGTTGAGGCAGGATTTGGGCTTTTGTGTATGGTCTACTTGAAGGACCATGGGTCCTAGTAACTAGGGTGATGAATAAGGAAACTAGACTGATAAGTAATTACAACCCTTTTTGAGGTAGTTATATCTCTGCGTACTAAGCCTAAGGGTTTCTGGTTCAGGAGTTGAGGTTTTAGCAAACTTCAAGGTTCAAAAGATGTTGATATATGTATGGCCCATATACGCGTAATGTTTTATGTACAGATTCTACCATGTAGTTTTCCCTAACTGGTTATATGGTCCTTATGTATGTATTTGCACAATTCCTGCGCGGGTTCGCTCCTGATACTAAAATCGCTAGACAATCACCAGCCACGGTTTAGGGTTTAGGGTTTAGGGTTTAGGGTTTAGGGTTTAGGGTTTAGGGTTTAGGGACCGATGATGCCAGGGACTAGAAGTCAACGACTGACCCTCAGAATCTCGAATCTGCGCACTCTAAACCCTACACCCTAAACCCTACCAGCACCCCCCAACTACCCTCGATTGTACCCTAAATACCCATAAGGACCATAAGGGCTCTATTAAAGGGTACTGGGGGGGGGGGGGGGGGGGGGGTAAGCCCTNNGGGGGGTGCTGGTAAGCCCTAAACCTTAAACCCCCTAAAGCCTAAACCCTAAAGCCTAAAGCCTAAAGCCTAAAGCCTAAACCCTAAACCCTAAACCTTAAAGCCTAAAGCCTAAAGCCTAAAGCCTAAACCTTAAACCACCCTGCTTGCTGTTTCTTCGGCTGAAGGCGCCAGGACTCGGTTGTAGGTCCCACTAAGTCCCAGAGTTTCTCACAGCTCTTCTGGGATTCTTGCAGGGTCGAGTTACATTCAAGGGACTAAAGGATTACAAAATTTCCGACCAAAGAGCTCCTGTAGGCTTCTTATCACGGTTCCTCTCAGGGTTGCTATAATGTTTCATCCAAGGGTTCCTTTAAGTCAAGGAGCTAAAGGAGGGACCCTTAAAGGGACCCTTGGGGTTATATAGGGGCTTTATGGGACTATATGAGGGGTATATAAGGGGTTATAGAGGGTATTTGGATTAGGGGTCCCTTCTAGGGGTCCCTCCTATTGTCATTTAACACATGCATCTAGGACATTTTTCAGGTGGGTATTTACCGTCATAGGAGCCTTGTAGAAGGTCTATATAGAAGCCCTTTTTACCCTACATAAACTCCCCACCTGTAGTTTCTTTTAAATTCAACTCTCCACCAGCTGAGCGACCGAGGCAACAATTGCAGAACCTTTGGGGGGACTTGGCGGCGGCATGGCTTCAAAAGTTCCAGACCTACATCCTCGCCTGCTCGAGGTTTAGGAAGCTTCGTGTTAGTTTGGGGATTAGGGATTTAGGGCTTAGGAAGCTTCGTCTTGGTTGAGGGCTTAGGGTTCCTATCACGAGAAAGCCCGAGCCTTCATCCCCTTACAATTACAAGCCCCTGCCACGGTGAACACCGGCTAAACCAATTCCGAAATGGGTTTAGGGTTTAGGGTTTAGAAACCCTAAACCCCATAAACCCTACAAAACCTTGTGCTAAAGCCTCTAAGCTCTTTGGGTACTATGATTAAGCTATATACTCCCAAGGGTTAACCTCTACTTCCCCCGGATACTGGGCAGCTGAGTTGTAGGAACACCCTAAGCTCTGAATCCTCAACCCTAAACCCTAAACCCTGCAAACAAATCCTGAACCCAAAACCCCTCAAGCAAACCTTGCACCCTAAAGCCTACATCCTATATCCTAAACCCTTCAAAACCTGGCACCCTAAAGCCTAATCCCGAAACCCTTCAAACAAACCTTGCACCCTAAACCCTAAATCCTAAACCCTAAACCCCTCCAACAAACCTGGCACCCTAAAACCTAAACCCTAAACCCTTCAAACAAGCCTTGCACCCTAAACCCTAAATCCTAAACCCTAAACCCTAAAACAAACCTTGCACCCTAAACCCTAAATCCTAAACCCTAAATCCTAAATCCTAAATCCTAAACCCTAAACCCCTCGAACAAACCTGGCACCCTAAACCCTAAAACCTAAACCCTAAACCCTTAAAACAAACCTTGCACCCTAAACCC